TTTACGTTTCTCTCTTCTTATCAGGGAGGGCGGTGCCCCAGCGCCCCCTATGGGCCGGCCGCCACTGCTTTTCAGTCAATTACAGATTACATGTAGAATTGACTACAAGTCCAGACAAATAAGTGTTAAATTCTGAGAAATAAAGCTGAATAAAATGCCAGAATGATAAACATTTACAATAATAGCAAATAAACACAATTCTTGCAGAAATCAATAAATTCGTAAAAAAAAGCAGTTAAAGCTTGTTTTAAGTTTGGAACCCTCCCTCTCTAAGCACGGGAGGCGTGGCCACTGTGGTCGCTAGGAGAAGTGGGCGTGGAGTCGTAGCCATGAAGTTACGTCAGCGGGAGCTGTTCAAACCAGTGTGGTGCTGAAGGGAGCACTCTGCCCGCCGCTCAGTCACACAGCCAGCGGGCTCAGGCGCTCCGTGGCTCGATCGGCTCTCTTTACTCCACGGGGAATCAGCGGCTCCTGGAATTTCCACGCACCGAGGAGCCCTTTTTTAACCGCAGCTCCTGTGGGAACAGTTTCTAACAAGTAAGCGGTGTCTTTTCTCTCTTCCTCTGTATCGTGTGTGTCAGAGACCATTTGCGGGGGGTGGGGGTTACTCTCCAGCTGCATGGGGGTTAGAAATGATCCTGTTTTGCTGTTGAATTGGCTCCTAGAGACTGGCTGAAGCTGCAGTCTGTTTCAGTCTGTGTGTGGCCCCCAGCCGCACCTAAGTCTTACCTGGTGCCAGCCCGGGTGAAACATTTGACTCGTATTTGCATAATCCAGCAGGCAGTCGTCAGACATGCTCTTTCTCTTTCAGTCCGGCGTTTATAGGCTACATGGACACTCTTCTAGTGTAATCATTTTCCACAGCCTGCCCTGTCCACGCAGCCCATTCTTCTTCTTTTTTAATCCCAGCGGGATCAAACTGGGAGAAGTCTTCTGTTACTGGTTGGGTTTCTGGGTGGCTGATCCAGGAGCTTGGAGCAGAAAGTGAAGAGAATATGCTCAGTTAGGTTTTTTTTTCTTTTTCTTGCAGAGCATATTTAGGTGCGGCTTCTCCACTTCCCTTTTCTCCTTACTCCTTCTGTTTTTTAATCTCTTCTTTTGCTCTGACCATTTTCCAATCTACTTTCCATCTTTGTATCTGTCCCTCTAATCTGTCCTCCCCTCTCCCGTTTCTGTTTCCATTTAACACCACTTTCCAATCATCTTTATCTCACCTTCTTCTAGCGAATTTAGTTTCCTCTGTTTGTTTCCCTTGTGTATTTTTCCAGTTTTTTCCTCCCTTTATCACTGCTTTTAGCCTGGTCCTGCTACTCTCCCTCTCCCATCCTTATCTCGATTTTATTGCCTCATAGCTGATGTTGTAAAACAGACATACTACAGGCCATAAAACTGCCACTTTTTTTTTTTTTTATCCTAAAACAAAGTGACTGTGAATCAGTTTGATTATTACTCTGATTTAAGGGAGCATTCAGTTCTCTTCTCTAGGTTTACTTATTTATTATGTTCAAATAAAGCTTTGTATTTACCAGTTTATTTAATGGCAGACAATTATATTGATTATCAGAGCCGTAAAAAAACATAATCAGTGGTTATTTTATGGGGTTTTGAGCCTCCTCTTCCTTTAGACTTTGATTGATTCTGAGTTAAGTTTTGTCTTTTCACATCTTCCCTAAATAGTTCTTTTAGAACCTGATCCTTTTAGTGTATATGGAGAGTTCCCTCTTTTGCTGCTATGCCATATTCATTATTTTTTAAGTCTTGGTAATAGCTTCACCTTCTTTTAATCATCCAATTTTCCATGACCTACTGTATTTCCTGTACTTCTGTGATTCTGTTTCTTGATTAATGTTCATCCCTAATGAAATCGTCTGGAAAACAGATAGACTTAAACTGAGCATGAATAGTGAACTCTCTTTTCCAATTAGGTATTTTCTAATGGGAATCAATTGCAAAACATTTCATTAGTGAGTATCAGAGTGAAAATTGCTGGACCGCTGAAGTCCAAAAGAAGTGGTTAATTTTTCTGCTTCTTATAAGATGTTTTAGGCCATTTTTCAAGTGGCTTCTTTTGCATATACAACCTTGGATGAAATCTCTTCTGAAAGTCTGAGAGTTTGACATTTCCAGGAGACCTTATTAGACCCGTCAGATGGAGGAATATGTTTGGCAGTTCATTTTCCTACACATTAACGCAGTAGGAATATGTCAGTTTCCTGACAGATTCCTAGAACCTTTCTGACATCATTAAGCTCTTTACCTTTTTCAAGAAATATGTCTTGGCTGCAGAAAAGCTGCATTTTTCACAAAGCTTAGAATGATGAAAAAACAAATAAACAGTGAAAAAGAGCTGAATTTTAAAAGAGTTTGATGCAGTGTTTGTTTTTTTTGTTTTTTTACTGCTTCAATTAAAAAACTTGTAGGTAGACACCTCTTCTTGGCTATGTTTGTCATTTTTTCTTTGCTTACATAATTTTGATCAGCTGTGATTAATAATCAACTGGCTAGTTACTGAAAAATTACATTCTTTTTTCTTCCTTTAATATATTACAAGAATTAAAACGAAACCTTTCCCTATTTTTTTGTAAATAAACTCATAAGCCAACTTCACATATTTTGTAATTATAGTTCACAATGAGGTTTTATGGTAATGCATTTCCTATTAAATCAGTTACAAAAAAAGGCATTTCCCTCCTTTCTATAGCTTCCATTATTTGAGTATAATAAATCAGAATGGATTAATACATGTCCTTTAAAATGATTGCTATAAAATATCCAGCTGCGTTTTCTCAAAAGATCAATATAAATATATGTCTGTAGAGATGGCTTCTATCTTTCACTTTAAGCCACAATGAATGGTTGCACAGAAGTGAGAGTAAGTGTGTCTAAAGCTAAATAGAGCTTGCAGAGTAAAAGAGGACAGTGCAGTAAAATATGAATCATTTTCACCAATTTGTTCAAAAGAAATGAAGAACAAAATTATTAAGCCTTAAGAGCTAATTAGACTGGATAAGCAGTATGCAAAGGTCAAGTCTTGAAAAAATATGCCACTCAGTTGAAACAGGAAATGTAAAATGTGTCATCATTTATCTCATCGTCTATTATATATTGAGGATTTGCCTTACAGTTCTTTAAGATCTAGTTTCATTTCTAGATGTTTTTGTTTTCACTATTTCTCCCATTTAAGGTCCATGCAGCCTCAGTAGTTAAATACTTGAAACAGAATATTTCTCTCTTTTTTTTCACTCAAGTTTCATCTATAGACCTCAGATGAAGCTCAGATCTTGTCCAGATTGGTTTTTCTTTCAACCCAGATTATCCTGAATCAAACACATAAGATTCATTATCATAGGGCCATTATATAAGCTGTGGGAAAACCCATCTTATCCATTTTATTTTGTCCAGTTTACAGATATTTGCCTCACATGAAAAAGCAACATTGGTTGTGTAGTTAATAACATACTAGTAATCTTTGTCAACCAGTAGCTTTGGTGATTTTCATCTTGATGCAGTTGAAATGTGTAAAAAATTGTGCAGTGGTGCTAAAAACTGTTTCCCTTCGGTCAGGTGCTATTTTTACATAGTGATTTAGAGGTAAGAGCTGGGTGAATTTAAACTAAAAGTTCAACCTGGAAAGATTCCCAAAGAAGACAAGCAACAATTAAAGAGTTTTATTGAAATGAGAAATATAGCCTTTGGTGCTCAGTTTGTGGTGGAAGAGACGTCCCCCCAACAGGGGCCCGACGCTAGTGGTGGAATGAAGGACGAAGGAAGATGGGGTGGAATAAGGTCACAGCTTGATGGGGCAGAAAAAAAAAAAAAACAATTGGCAGAACACAGGCGCTTTAAAGCAGAGTCCTAGATGATGATTGGTCATTTTCAGACACTGGACTTATTACCTAATAAAAAGTAGCCGAAGTCCACAGAAGGTCTGAAGATCAAATTTTTAACAAGACGTTAGAATACTGCAAAGTTTTCCTCCGTTGAAGCAAAGCATAGAGACATAAAGAATGACTCAGTACTGTTACAGAATGCTGTATGTAGATGAAGAGGAGTTTTATGCTTCTCCATGCGGACTGAGATCTGGGCCCGTAGCCCAACTCTTCCTACAGTTCTCTAATCATCTCTGTATTAAAGTAATCCTCTGCATTTAGCCAAAACAACGCTTGCTGTAACTGCTGTGGCTTATTTATCACACTTTTCGGCTTAAGACCAAGATGCCGGGGCAGCAGAAGTCTTTGCAATATGCACACATCTTTAAACAAAATCTTCAGACTAACCTCCTCAGTCTGCTCTGCATGACGTGTCCTCGTTTCCTAGTTTGATTGCTTAACTCACCTTCTGTTTGATATGTTTTTAATAAGAGTTGTGTGTTAGTCACAAGTCTCCCTGATAAGCGTATGTTAATGCTTGAGTGTGTGTGTGTGTGTTTTTTTAAGCCTTGAATGTGTAATTTTTTCGAATAAGTAGCTTCATTAAACTCAGAGGAAGCCGGTAGCTCTGATGATTAATATCCCAAAATGAGCCAGAAGGCATAATAAGTGTTTCTGATTGGCCGCTGCGGCTGCATGTCGTGCTGCCTGTTCAGACCCATGCGAGGAAATTATTTAATTTCTTACAATGCAAATCAACCCTCACCATGTTAATAGCCTTTATTATAGCTAAATAAGAGAGTTTTTGTTCTTCCTCCTCCTCTTTGCCTTCTCTATCTCCATCCACAGAGCTTAGTGGGTCTTTGTTAGATCAGCCAGGTCGATTTGATGGGCAGGTGGGGGTGTGTGTGCTGGGGGCTCCTTTGGGACACCTGATAGTGCAGGATCTGGTTTCTCAGCCTGTGAGCAGGTGCAGAAACATCAGCCCCATATAACTGCGCATAATGTGGAGTAATGTTTGTATTTACTTGTTTCCAGGCAAAGGATTGAAGATGCATAACTTGGGTTAAAAGGAACAACATGTAATTGATATGTTAGGTCTTTTGTGAGTAGCTCACAGGGTGTAGATATGATATTTATATGATGTTTTTCATCTTCTGCTTTGGTATTTATTTGATTTCCTTACAGTTGAATGCCTTTTACTTTGTAAGCGCTCATACCTTTTAATCTTTTAAATGAACTTTATTTATGTATTTTAGTTAATTAAATAAAGTTTTATTTTGTTTTTGCAATTCAGTTATTTTTACTTTCTTGCTGATTAACTAGTTTTTTGTCTGTTTTTTATTTGCTTCAAATTCTAATGTTTAGCTGTGGCTAATTTTCTTCTTGTTCAACACCAATAATAGTTTTCAGAAAGGAAGAAGATTCGAATCGGTATGTTGAGTTCATGCTAATAGAATCCTAATCTTAAATTCTAGCAGATAATCATTATAGTAAACAGAAAAAAGTTAGAAAACATCGACGCATGTGTAAATAATCTCTCTCACTTTTAAAAGGAATCACTACATTTAATAAAACAAAAGAGGCACCATCTACATCTGAAGTGTAGCTGCTTGAAAAGGCCTATTCCCTAATAATATTTGGTCAGATGACCTAAGGGTCTGTGCT